CCGATAGGCATCCCGGCCAATCTTTACAGTAAATATCTAACCGCGCCTGAATCGCTGTAGACTCCAACGCTCGAGGCGTAATTAAACCCGTTTTCGAGACCGGACGAAAAAGAAAACCCTGAGAGATATCTACCCTAATCTACCCATAGACAGGACAAATGCAATTATTGGAACCTCGCTTAAGAGAGAAACATTACCGTCGCCAGAACGATGCGACTTTGACCATACTTGGTTGAAAAGGAAACCGAAGTCATCCGAGAACGCAAAATTGTATGAGACAAAACCCCCAATAAATCTGCGGCCCTATCCGCCGAAAAGRAAAGAGCCTTTAAACCCTGCCTGGCCGCGAGCATATTAAACAAAAGAGTTGTAGCGGATCAAACGCGAACACATAAAGCGTTTATTATTTGAATAACGAGATAATACTTTTAAGTCACTAAGAAATGTTTCTGCTTGTTTTGGAGTAATATGGACTTTTCACTGTTCTTCACCCACGCTAGACAAATATATCCTCACCATTCTATCCAACTTAAACTGACTGTCCTTCATCCACAAATTACATAATCTTGCATCCAGGCAGAGTCGAGGTTTTAGAAGCTCCACACCGTCAAAGGGAGCACCAAATGTGGTGCTCGTCACTCCAACCTCACCCCAAATAACGGTCTCCCATTTGCATACGCTTGAGAATARAATCCGAACAAATTCTACMAATCTTTTGCAGGAAGAGTGGTTACGAAAAATCTTCGCAGGTGGTGCATCGCTATCATAATAAGTCCTTTTGAAAGAACCCTTSAATGGTTGCAGGAACTCCTCAATTCCCACTTATAGTTTAATCCATCTCAAGATCGATTCCACCCTTGGGTGACCGCGCAGAATCTCCTCCAAGTAATTCGCATTACTATGAAGGCCCTCTGTCTTGAATGTTTTTGGGTTATGAAAGCTAAGTCCACTTTGAGGGAAAGGTTCTTCAGAAGACAAAATCTCGTGAACACTAAGAGGCTCAGTACCCCCCTGACAGGGGACCCCATCCATTGTAATCTAACTTGCATCAGGTTGTGAGTCTTAATTTTCCCCAAACTGTGCGTCTTTTCGTCCCCATAAAGGGAAAGAGAACTCATTCGTGCATTCTTAACGCCTTTCTTTTAACAGTGAAAAACCTAAAAATMAAAAATGTACCGATTCACTCGAGAGCTAACAAAGGATGAAATACGCCMAAACCTCGCAAGAATCTAAAAAAAACACCATTCTCGTAAGTAAGCCATAACCTGATAAATTAGAAGAAACACACAACTAAAGAATAATAAAAATAAAGAAACACGAAAAATTACGAAAACCCAATGCAAGTGGGTGGGGTCCCCGATAAGTAGGGAGCACTGCAAACGCACTTTCGGAASGACCACCGATCAGCCCAGAATGCAGGCTGACCMATGGGAGTCACTCGCCCTAACCAGAGAGAAGGAGGAAAAAAAATCGCAAGTCACAAACCTAGATTCCYAGTCACAGAGAAACTAAAGGACAGCCAACAATAATTAAACATAAACACATGCAAGAGAATGATGTTTATCAAAATGATTCACAGACTAATTAATCACTACTATAGCTTCTCRTGGACTTTTTCTTCTTCTTTATCTCTCAACAAAATGACCAAATATCGCTCGAAGACCTCCTCCGGGGCGGCCCTCTTGTCTTTCAGGGCTTAAAAAACCGCGGAGTAGTACGCGGCCTTCACATGTTTCCCTTCCAATACCACCACCTTCAGGTTCACACCTKCTATAGCGCACTCTCTTTGGTGAATCCAGCGGATTTCGAGCGGGCCTCCAACAGAATCTTGGCTAAAACAGCCTCTACATTTACTTAAGGCCCTAAAGATCGAGAAGCAATTTACACTCGAATTAATGACTCAAGCACTGGCATGAAAAAACTGGTAAAGCTTTGCCCCGGTCATAGACCTAATTGCACTCAATAACCAAAGCTTTTCAACGGTCACTAAACAATCAAAGCGCTTTKTCATCAGTTCACGTACCTATAACAAACTAGATTATGGAACCTTGCCACGATTACGGGCTTTATACTCAAATGAACTTACTACAAACAATCAAAAACTCTGCCATGGTCACAGGCCTATACTGAAAATGAACTAAATAATCACAACCCTTTGCCACGGYCACGGGCTCATTCTCAAATGAACTGCACAATCAGACATTTTGACATGGTCACGGGCCCAAACTCAAATGAACTGCATGGAATTACCCACGATATGTGGACCTAGAATTTATACAATAAGAAAACGCTCAACGACAACGCCTACGAAAGCATGCTAAGCCCACAAGAGCCTTAATTAAATGCAATGATACACTGGATACAAGGAGAACACCCAGCCTGATTTAAGGCGATTTTTTTTACCTTAAAAGGTGTTTATATAAGATCAAAATCAAGCAAAAGAATCATTTTGTTTAAATATATTATTTTTTACTTTCAATATAACTATGCTTGCAAAAAAATGCTTCATAACTCAGTTGGTAGACCACTACATGAAGTGATATGAAGTGGTATGGGGTTTGAATTATAAAAAATAAATGAGTTATGAAGCATTCTTTGCAAGCATAGTTATATTGAAATGTTCATTAGATTTCTTTTACAGCGATGAACATAATTTGCAAATGTAAACTCGTGTTTCRTTGTACCACCTATCTCTCATTTTTTCTGATGAAGGCTGCCTGTGACCTTATAGACGAATCTTACGGTAGAATGAATTTCAAAACACTCAATTTAACGGAAAAGAAATCCAGCATCAATTATAATAAATAAATTCCAAGTTTCAACAAAATAGAACTTTTAAGTTCAATTTCAAAATTGGCGAAGATATAAATTTTCTAAATATGTAAATTTACAAACAAATGTATTACAGCCAACAATCCATGCTCTGTGAGCCTCGTTTTCATAACATTCTAAGCGTGGTCAAGGTCCTTTTAAATCTATTATATTACAACAGGTGCATAGATCTCTTATTATGATATTTCAGCCAATAATTGTATTTTTTTCAGTTCTAGCTAGAAAATTTGGATAAACCAGCAAAGCAAGAACATTGTAAGAACATAGCGGCCGAATCCCAGGCGGATCATTTTGAAAAAGATTGTGATGTTCTTAACACATTTATTGCCAAGCTGTTTAACTCAATCCAACAYGAACCCTTCATAAACCCTTGGATTAGAAATACAAAATCTGCACTCAAAACTATTCGATTCATGATAGAGGATTTTATGACTTATTTAGATAAAATATAATGCAGCGTTACAAAGTCATGCGTTGCAGTGTAACGCAGGATTCTGCACAAACAAACAGCTTTAACTGTTACCTTAAAATGCTTAATCTTAATAAGAAGATAATTAAAAAATGTGTTTTGTAGATAAAAGATAGTGTTTCCTGCAAGAACAAAAACCTTTAAYACTGTTTATATGACACGTGACAAAAAACTTTTGGAATCCGTTATATGGTAAATAGCTCGTCACATTAATAAGTTTGATCTTGGCATCATTCAACACTGACTGTACAATAACATTATTAGTGTTAATTAATAAAAAAGACTTCCGATACACTTACATGTAAATTGTATAATATTTGTGCTCTTATTGTTATTTAAATCAGTGAGATATAAAATTTCTAGTGACGTTATAGTCTATTTATATAACTAAGGAGAACGAATTTCCTTTGCRTAACTAACACTTAAGTATTTACCGTCATGTTAAGAGAACTGCTTGTGAAAGAACTACAGCCTGTTTTAATAGGTGGGCGTCAATGTTAACGTTTTAGCTAATTTGTATAAAAGTAAGAAATCGAATTTCAAGACACAAGAAAATCAAGCCCATAAATGAAAACAACTCATACCTTCCCGCAAATTTGAAGGCAATTGGTTAAATTGGAGATATCAAGCGCCGAATTTGCATATGGAACTTATTGCCATACATCGGGTGACATTTGCTTGGATTATTGTCCAGGCTCACTCATGCATCCATGCATGCATGTATATATGCATGTAATTTATTTATTTACTTCATGAAATATAATACAATGGAGTTAATTAATATTTTGTCGTCGATCGACCTCATTAACATCATCATCTGACCATTAAATACTATTAATAGCAAAGTCACTTCTAGAAAGGAAAGTACATGTACATATAATATCACAGTTACGTTCACTGACTGATATAAATTTTTCAAATATTGAATTAACACAAAACTGCATAGTTTTGAGTACATTTTCAACATATAATAAGAAAGCAATAATTTGAAAAATTCAAGTTTGATTTTTGTTGCTTGTGCCTACAGAAGTAGTCTCCTTTGCATCCGTTCATCGTCGGGACAGGAATCCCGAAACGCAAACGGATGCGAAGCAACGCCAACTCTTCAAAGGCGAAAATACGTGATTTGATTTTTAAATTTTCTCACGAAAAATACACAGCAATGTCACACATACATTTTATTTCTTAAATCCGGTGCTAGGTTTTTTATTAACAAAATAAGTTATACGCGAGGCCCAGTTTTTTGGAGCGAACTGTGGTGAAAATATGGATCGCCATACTATTTTAATGCTCAACTTCAACTCTTCAAGGGCAAAAATACGTGATYGGATTTTCGAATTTTYTCATGAAAAATACCCAGAAAGGTCGCATATAGATTTTATTTCTTAAATCCGGTGCTAGGTTTTTACGATTGTTTTTAATGTCGCCGCATTTCTTCAAAAAGCCTTGAAATCTGGCCTTTTTTCGTCAAATTTGGCACTTCATACGGACTGTCAGGTCAAGCTTGAGTGATCACGGACTATTTGTCCCCCATAAGYTCCATATGGCACAATTTTCTAAAGAAATGAACGTGGTTGGCATTATTTTGCCAACTTAACCACTGAATGTTTTCTATATAGATCTTGTAGTTTTGAAATGCCGATATTTCGAAATGTAAAAAGGCGTTTGCCCTAAAATTTTCAGGTTTTGTTGACATTAATATAATCTTGAATTATATGAGTTCAGATTGCTTATTTTTTGAATTTTAAATATATTTTGGATGTAAACAAACTACGTCACCGTACGCCCACCTATTGAAGAACCGACTGTCGTGAAGTACGAGCAACTGAGATGGCGTTTAGGGGTTTACTCTAATCTAGGGGATTTTTGCTAAGTTTTGCGCATTTGAATTTTTGAAATACATAAGTCGGATATTTTGGATCCGCCATCTTGCATTTTCTTTAAGTTCGTACGGCTTTATTTACAGATTCAAAATTGTGTGCTTGTGATGAAAACATGCTGATAATTATCATTTCATTGAATCAATAAAGGCTGTGGCTAAATGGTATCCTTTCAAACCAGGTATCGATTAGATTCGTAGCTCTAGTCRTAGGGTTAGGTTTAAGGGATTATCGGGACAGTCTATAAAACTTTTATTTACTATTTTTATTTCAGAGATTTGAAATTAACGTGAGTCCCTTTAGCATGATTACCTGGTCTGTAAGTATATGCCATCTAGCCACACCATCACTGAAATACAATTCAATTCCGATGCCGTCGCGTCTTCTATTTTAAAGTCTTAGTTGTATTTCATTTTGAAAATTGATTTCTTTATTCCATTACTCTCTACCAGCCTTTGTTAATCTGTAAGGAGTTCAAAATAATATATTTGCATTGATCAAAAGAGACTTCAAAATGGCATAGATCTACTTAAATTCAAGGACCGCGTGCATCAAAGAACCTTTCCTCAAATTTCCCATGTACCAAAACTCGCTATCTTTGATTTTGAACCAACTTTCAATAAGAGATCATTTGAAAAAGAAAACAAACAATCGCCAAGTCTCATTGATGCACGTGGACCTTTAACGTACATATAAGGACGAGACTAAAGTGTGCTTTTTACTACACTAGTATAAGGGATGAAACAAAATASGTTTTAGAATTAGAAGGCATTAAAGAGAATTTAAGAATGCAGTTTTCTTTGGTTTTTCTTTCTCTTAAATTGCACGCCAAAAAGGTTATTATTATTGACTGATAAATCAATTTACTGATGGATGATTCAGTCAATCGATTGGCTGAAACTACAAATGCGAGATTGATTGATAACAGCATACACATACTAACCTTGTTCTCATCAGYTGGATAATCAAACGTTTGTTTCATCTGCTGAACCGAGATGAATAGATGAATAAGTAATGAATAATGTGCGTTTTCAAACATTYCCAGTAAAGTAATTCTTGGYTTGCAGGTTACGTCACAGCGGCCATCTTGGAGGAACTTTAACAAAGGATTTCTCATTAGTATCTATTGTTCATTCCTCCAACATGGCCGCCGGTCTTTCGAATCTCRTGGGAATGGGTGAAAACGATCAATAGTTTTTGTATTATGTKCTTTGGCTGAAGTACGAGTGATGAGTGGCMATGTTGTGCATTAGTACGTGACCTTGTTRTGTCTCTATGCGTGACAATGTTATGTGACTATATATGCCTGAAATTGTTGTACGACARTGGGTGATAGGATTTCGTACGTGTGCGTGACAGTATTCTTGTCTGACAATGAAAAYRYAGTTTGAATGTAGATGCCGKTACAYCTTGCCAYTATCATTRGTAACTTTTTTGAAAGTGGTAAGCTGGAAATCCAAATTAAGAAGGCAGACATCACAAATGTGAACTTGCGTATGTTGTGTAAAAACGTTTTTCACTCGAAAACTGCGGGGAAAATTGCTCGAGGGWGTGATATATAATATTGCAAAATGCCGTCAGATGTTGTTGCAATGCGTCGAGAAAACAAAATATGTTGGAAGACGGCTCCTCTTTCAAAAGCACCGGTTTACACAGGCGATTTTTGCGGTGTTTTTTTTTTGTGTGATCATTTTCATCCTAGAGAACAATGCTAAAGAATTAACTTTCATTTAATACACCGAGATAAGATAGGGATAAGACAAAGTAATCTATTATTATTTTAACAAATCGCCAGTATAAACGGGTCTCTACACCGTGTAATTCATCAGCATGGTGTAAACYGTTTYGCCCTGTTGTAAAGCTATGGGTTGCCATGKTGTKTGTGTTGCGTGMCGACAATGTTGCGTGWAAATTGTCTATATTGTATATACTAACCCTTTTCGTCGTAAAGTCATCATTAGGCATTTTCTTGTTTGAGACTGGTGTGTTAAAATATGATTCATACAAATCTTCCTTGTCAGCATCAGGAGAAGGTTTAACCTGCAATCAGAGAGCATTACTGTCACTATAACAACATGTTGTTGTTGTTGTTGTTGTTGTTGTTTATTTCTAAGGAAATTGAGTCCACCGTATTGTCAGTGCAAAAAAATACAAACATTTATAAACAGGATTTTGTCAGGAATGACTTTTTGGTCTATAAGCGAACTATACCTTTCTTTTAATGACAGCAAGCACGATGAATACAAAAGCAAGGCCCATCATTCCCCCAAAACCGTACAAGAAGTACAAATAGGGCTCGACTAACTCGGTGTCGCTTGCTTCTGTAGCTGCGTGATTGTTTGATTCGCCTGGAAAACAAATCATGACTCGTTACGCTGAGTCTCTCGTTTCAGACGTCGATCTTTCGTCAAGTCTAATCTAATAGGCGATTTGCATTAAGCGATCACGTGATAAAATCCGCCATTTTGGCTGGTCGTGAGACAATTTTTGGCACGACAGGAATGTAAACAAAGATGGCGGAGCCGACTTTTTGACATCAAATCAAAGGTGAGTTTTAGTTCTTTTTACGCCATCTTTGTTTACATTCCTGTCGTGCCAAAAATTGTCTCACGACCAGCCAAAATGGCGGATTTGATCACGTGATCGCTTAATGCAAATCGCCTATTGGTGGAGTTGAGTTTAATGAACATTTCTTACTCTAAATTTATTGTTATCAGTAGATTTTGTTCAGTTGGGCAAAATTACTATAATTTGTAAATATCGATGCAGACTACAAACTTCTCGAGAACTGCATGTAAGCAATTAGATTAGACACGGCAAAAGATCGACGTCTGAAACGGGGCAAAGCTGTGTTTTATAAGTTTTTCAAAAACTCATTAATTATTCATGAGGTATTCAGCCAATCCCTGATTGTAATTTGTACCACGTGCAGTAACTGGATACCAGAGGAAGCACTCCTACCCTTATTCTTCCTTATTGCCAGTTACTTCGAGCTTATTTCAAGTCACTTCTATATTATTTCTAGTTATATTCTACTCTCGACCGAATATAAATTATTTTCAAACTAAATTACATTCATAACAACAGTATACAGGAATTGGCATCTCTTTATTGGTTATGCTGCTATGTCACGGTTTACAACAATATGCTTCTATTAGCACTGACCTATATTTCCTTTAAACTTTACGTACTAGAGTTTAGAGATACCTTCGATGGTTCACACTAACTGATTTCACTTATATATACTTCGCACTACTATTCCCAAGAGTATACCCCCTTACAACAACAGCACGCTTGTATTCATTACATATCGTTAGAAAATACATTTACTTCTACATTATTTCCAGTTACTTCTACCATGTCTCCAGCTACTACTAGCTAATGATAAAAATAATTAAAATTGATTATTTCTAATAATTTGATTATCATTAGCTAGTAGTAGCTGGAGCAGGAAATAATGTAGAAGTAACTTGAAAAAGGTAGAAGTAACTGGAAATAAGGAAGAATACAAGGTAGGAGTACTTCCTCTGGTTTCAAGTTACTTCACGTGGTACAAATTACAATCAGGGATTGGCTGGATACCTAATGAATAATTAATGAGTTTTTGAAAAACATTAATTCTTTGATACATTAACTCCTCACGACTCGATCCCCTACCGTCCAGTCTATATGTGCCGTCTTATACCATTACACCACCGAGTTTCTGATGCGATTCCTTGGAAGATAACATGGTTATAAATCTTATGAATTAGGCTCATTAGGAATGCAATGAATAGCAAACAAAGACAATTTGAATAGAATTTGTTTCAGATGAACCATTAGGGAATTGAAGAACAACAAACAGTGCTTCATGTATTCAAAATTATGAAAACTGAAAACCTTGGTGGAGATGCAATAAATCAATATATTTCTGTTATATGTATTTCCTTCGCTTTTTTTTCCCTCCCGAATAATCAATGAGTTTTTGAAGTCGTTCAAAGGCCTCCAATTCGGACTTGCCGGGATTTCAAAGTCCTTGCACGAGGCGCTAGCCGAGGACTGGAACTAATTGTGCGGACTTTGAAACCCCGTCAAGTCCTCATTGTCGGCCTTTAAACATTACATCTTTTATTGGCCCACACGTGCATCCGAGAGCCAATTTTGCAATTTTATCACATATTTGAACCAATCAGAATAAACGTTTACCTGACAAATCACTTTGTGACCTGGCAATCGAGAAAGCACTGACAGACAGAGCATTCAATGGTCCTGATCTGACCGAAGAACTGAAGGCTTCATTTAGYTTTGTGGTGTCAACAGAAGTCTTTGTGCTGATTCTAAAATAATCCACATTAACATAATAGCACATTCGACTTGAAGTTATGCAGTTTCTGGATTTTTTAGTAAATAGAAATCCTGTTTAATCAAACTAGTTTATGAGTAATTATGTCCTACGTTTTTTACAAAGAAACAGAAAGGCTGATATCAATGACATGCGCATTAAGGACTATACGACGAACAGAAGTGAAAATTCCTGGAAATAAACACTGGAAAAAATCGCGCACTTTTTAACCTTTAAAAAGGTTGTAAACTTGATGTAAATATGATGTAAGTGTCGAAAATGGTGTAAATTTGATCAAATTTACATCATTTTGGTCACTTACATCATATTTACATCAAATTTAAAGTGCGCGATTTTTACCAGTGAAACTATGACTATACTACCTTCAAACCATCTCACCTGTAATGTATGACCACACTACCTTCAGTAAACTTGTAGCAGTCAGGATCACAGTCGACGCCTTTATTMCTAAGCGTCTCGCTAATCGCAGTTTCACATTTCGTCTTCAGATCYTTAAACGCYTTGGAGTTTTTGTCTTCCAAATCTTTCGAGAATTGTTTYTCCATTTTCATTTGTCCTTCAAAACTGGTCCCCTCACCTCCCCCGTGATTGTGTGATTCGTGAGCAGCATGAGTCGTGACTCCCRAAGTCTCTTTGTGTGTGTTTTTCGTTGGTTTTGCTGTGGTGTTTTTAGTTATTGTAGATGGATTTGTCGTTTTTTCAGGTGTGGTTGTAGTG